ATATGATGAGTACTAAGACACCCTCGGTTTCCCCTCGCTTTAACCGAGCTTTTTTCGCTGCATGTGACGCAGACGACACAGAGTGCTAACCGTTGCTAGCATTGATGTCAAGTTTCAATCAATATAATTGAAAGTGGGCTAACTATTTTTTCATAATATCTACACCCATCATGTAACCAATAACTCAAAAGCCAGTTCATGCCCAATGCGAACTTGAATGACTACTTTAGATGCATGAGGATTGTTCAAAAGCGATGCCAGCATATTTTTGCGAAAACCAACAATGAGGTTCCCGAGGTCAACAGGACAGATGGGACAGCTCCATAAGGCTGAGGTCAGAGTCCGCGATCCGTCGCGCGATTCGCGCGACAAATCACAGAAATCACAAGTGCCCGATCAATACTGCAAGGTGCTCTCCAATCCCGCCGCCATTTCTGCTTGATGGTGATGGTTGAATGACGACTGTTCATGATTCTACTTGTTTCATATTCAGTGTTTCAAATGTTCAAATGGGGCACTTGCGATTTTTGCGATTCGCGCGAATCACGCGATTATCGCGGACTCTGACACCAGCCTTAACACCCACGTCTCATTTATCACGTGGAACCATGGTCATTATAATTTCGAGCAAAACTAAATTCCAAAAGCCGTACCTGATAGAACGAGTTCAAGAGCATCCATTTCGTTCAAATTGAAAATATCGCTGATTATTATCGTCTCATCACAAAGCGCCTGATCTAGAGGGACCTTGACACCATCGATTAGAATTTCGGCATCCGCCTTGAGTTTGACTCGTTCAATTGAAGATTTGCCCTGAAACGATATTTACGTCGCCCATGTAAAAATTTTAATCAGTACCACTTTAGAATAAAGAAATGGCCTTCACTATTATAGTGGATCATATCGAACTTTTGAAAAAGGGCGGTATTTTCCTTCAATCATACCTGGTTTTTCAGTATGTTTTGGATCTTCCATTTGAATTTTTCAATTTCTCTAATCAATTCGGCGCATTCGGTAGGGCTTTCACGTTCCTCGAAGTTCTGTACAGTTTCGCATATACGCCTTACTTCGATCCACATTATCTAAACACAATATCCGCTACAGTTCGAAATTCGATTCCGTAGTTTCGAAAAAGCAGAATATGTCGCAATACCACTAGGAATAGGAACTGATTTACGGAGCTAGTTGAGCCGGGTGAGCCAGTTTTTGATACTGCTTCCCAATCCCGGCGCGGTGGGCCTCTGGAGGGGGGGGGACAGTCTAGGCCGCTAGGACTAAGCCTAATGGAGAGGGCGAATTTCGGAGAGGATGAAAATTGCTTGCACACCTCGGTGTTCCTCTTCTCCTCTAAGGCTTAGTCATAAAACTGGGCGTTTCCGTGAATCTAATGCAATGTTACAGGCTGCCCCCTCTTCCCCGGAGGCGTACTGTGCACCAACCCCACCTATGCTCACCAGCACGTAGTTCCTCCTTTTATTGAGACTAGGCCATTCAAGGAGAAAGGAGCACAGCACGTGCTATATTTACCATTGCAGTTAAAGAAGCAATACGACAAAGCAGTCAAAAAACATGCTACGCCAGACAAAACTAAAAAGGGGCCAAGAAAGAAAAAGAAAACTAGTAAAAAACAAGTTCGCAGGCAAAAAATAAATAGTACAGTGACATAGATAAATCTCAGAGGAGTCTATTGTAAATAAAACAAAAAAAAACAAACTGTTCATTTTTAACACTGGCAGCGAAAGTTAGTCGTAGTGACTAATAGTGACTAAACTAAACAAATGCTATCTTTACTAGAGAAGAAGCTAATCCCTTCATTGAAGAACCAACTGCTATAAACGTGCCAAGTAACTGAGCTCAAAAAATAAACAATTAAAACGACAAGAAAGCGAATCTAAGTTCTGGCAAACTCTACGAAATAAAATTTCAAAACAGAGGCATTGGGCAATGGGAGCGCAGAGATAGGTGCATTGCGGGTCACTGAATATTTTTCACTGGAATACTGAAGCTGCCCTCTGCTTGAGGGCTGACAGGATCAATCACGCAGTGGGAGCCTTATTTGGCCACCGGAAAAGGGGTCGTATGTGGAAAGGTGTGTGGACGAAGGCTTTGAGACCCTCAAGGAGCTGGCGAGGGGTTTGCGAGCTGTAGAGAAGCAAGTCCTGCGAGAAATCGAATCCAAGACTATTTTTGGCCTCTTTTTCCACCCCTCAGAAAAACCTTCATGTGTTGCATAGTGGTGTAGAAGCCATCACATAAGGCATATTTCAGCAATTTTTACGCCATAACCTTAGGGGTGCGGCCATACTTTGTGACTATACTGCAGCTCGAGTGTAGGCTACATACGTATCGAATTGCACGATCTTTTTTATGAATAGTGCGATCAGGATCGCCTATGAGCGATACGTACTTTCCCCACGGGCGACCGCAATCGGAAGTGTTAGGACCGCATAGTGCGTTAAACCTGATGCGTAATGTGTGCTACCATTGCTGAGAATAAAGTTCGACGTCAGCGGCGACACGTGGCAACTGGTTGACTAGATTTCGTAGTGTCGAGTATGATTTTATCCGTACATTTCAGTATTTTGATTTCAATGTACCTTAAATGGTCTATGCACATGTTGGAAGCCAGCGCTCTGAAGCTTTTCTCATTTTGTGATTTCTATTTAGGGGGGGGGGACGGTGGGCGATGTACTGGCAGGCTGCCCTGATTACAGCGTGTTATTGGGGCTGGATACATATATCCCGTAAAATCTCGCCCAAGCCTACAGCCCTTCTATCTAATTGAGGCTCGTATGTTTGTACCGACACCGCAGGCAATGAAAACACAGGACTAAACAATAACTGGTCTACTCAACCAGGTGCCTGCATGAGGCGTTCAAAACTCCCTGCAATTCTAAGTGGATGGACAATGCATGGCGCATTCCAAAAATGAAGAGCTGACGCCCTTCGCGTGATTTTACCTTCATAACTCTTATCAGTTTGTCGGTATGTAACACTTGAAGAATGTCCCCGACTTTCTCACACATCGCGAAACCGTCTCGAACAGGTTTTCTGTTATTCTGCGGATGTGGAACGTGATAGAGAATCATCCAACGCCCTAGTGCCCCGCCCATCATCATATTTCAACCGTTCTTCGATCGTCTCAATTCGTAGACAATTCTCCGAACAAGCTCACCTGTCATGCCTTTCACAAATCCATTACGCCTCAAATTGCGGCCACCCATCGGCCAAGGAAAAGGTGGCCTTGAAGACGATGACGAGGTCGTCAACGAGACGGCGGCGACATCGGCAATCTGCTTGATTCTCTTCTTGTACTTTGCATCTACCGCGAAATTTTCATCGTTCTCTCCGCTTTTTTGTCTTTTTTGTCTTCGAAAAGGGTAGCCCGACATTAGCTTTTTCTAACCTTCTTGTTCTTCTTCTTTAGCGTTTGTCTCGCTTGGTAGCAGGGTTTCTGGGTCTTCTACCGTTAGATCGTCTAAAGGTCTTTTACCCTTGTCTAACCAAATTCAGCTATTTTGTCTGTTCCTCCCACCTATCCTTTTTGATGGTTCCCACCACAGTTAGAGGTTTCCCTTTCATGTAAGTCACTTATCAGGCCACACCTCTCTGGCCCTGTTCTGATCACTGATGATTGATTGGAGACAGTTCCACAGAAACCAGACTTCCATAAACTACAGTCTACATTTCTTGGCTTCATTAGAGGGCTATTTCCATCAGGGACAAGTCCTAAGACGGAATGATCAAAGTGGTCATGGCGCTATCGCAAGATACGGGGGCATCCTCTAGCACTGAGCCTAGGAGTTGGCAGAGACTCGGGGAAAAATGAAAATTGCTCTTGCTCCTGGAGTCTTTTCACCCCGTCTAAGGCTTAGTCCCGATTTCAACAAAAAGGAGATGTCTCACATGACTTTGAACGCATTACCACCACAATGCCCCCGTATCTTGCGATAGCACCGTAATCGGCTGAACAGAACAGTGCATTAGTGTCCCCCAAAAACGTGGACTTTTGCCTAACATGGAGGGAATCTAATTTGGACTCTTATATGCGAATTTTTTTCGAGAATTTTCCAGCTTTCATTCGAAGATGGTCTCATTCATGGTTGTAGAGGAATACGAATACATATTACGCATAAGAAAAAAGGCCTATTTTGGTTCGCTTTGGAAACGACAACGTTGCGTTGCACAGGCTGTCTTTGCACTTACTGGTACCTCGCAACTGAAAGAGTTTCGGATGGGAGCCCGATTGCGCTTGATTCAGTCTTCTCAACCCCTCAGGTAGCCACGGGTGACTGATGGTGCCTTGCGTTTTGGTGTCTTGCGTTTTTGTCAGTTAGCCGGATGGTTCGCTTGCGTTTTGGTCAACTGGCATGGAAACTCTGGCTTCTTCATAATGACGACTCGTTGTCCTCAGCTTTAGCCGTCTAGTTAGGGGTATGTTGTCTGCCGGCAGTAGCAGTTTTGTACTTGGTTTCATTTAAATAATTGTTTGATGTGTTTTGTTTGTTCCTTCGTTTTATGTTCGACTAGAGGTCTGCACTGGTTTTGTTGGGCCACAAAAGTCAGTTTGAATAAATATATAATAAGACTTGATTGATAGAATCGTCATCAATATGGCAGGAGCTTTGCGGTGCGCATATCGCTAGATTTTGCTCTAAAGCTCGCGAGACTAATTGAGTGCATTATTCGGCCAACATTAAGTACAGGTTACCCGGGAGTTTTCGAGCTGTTTTGTTTTGTAAGCTGCTTTGTTTCGCCGCACAGTTCGCGAGGCGAATGTTATTACAAGAATGCTGAGCCTTATCCAAAAACACTTATCCTCGGCCGGAACTCATCCTTATGTCCACAAACTTCCTTGCGATAACATTCGCATCGCTAACACTGTTGAAAAACAAAGCGAATCGGAAGTGTAAATCATGAAAATAAATATAAAAATGCGAAAAGCTGCATTTTCTGTCAAAATTTTCGATTTACCTGTTCATTACCGGTATGGCTAACATTCATTAGTTGAGATTCACATGTGATTAGCGATCAGGCTAGAAGGGAAAAGAGCTAATCCGATAGGCAAATAGCGAGTAGGCGACTACGATTACATGCGTATTGATTTGATTTGCTCCACCCACTAAGGGATCGACCAATTGCCTACTCCCCTACGCGCCTAATGTAGCGTTCATAGTCGGCGATCGTATGTGCGGTGGTTAGGCGATTTGGTTACTCTGGAGTGATTCAAAAGAAAAGTATACCTGTCGATTAGGCGATTAGGCGAGTAGGCGAGTAGCCGTCAAAGGAAGGATACATATTGATTGGTTGCTCCGCCCTTGAGCGACTGAATCATCGCCTGAATCGCCTAATCGCTGATCGTGCTACTCGCCTACTCGGCCTCAGTTGTGACTCTGAACAATATCTAACCGTTTCTCATCCAAGTCATGATAAGCTCTGTGTGTTTTATTGTGAAGGGCTTATCTATAGACACAAACGTTCAAACGCAGTACAAGGCCACCTTGCTCCGGAAACAGTCCTTCTGCGGACAACATGGCTATCGCAACGATAAAGGTAGTGTACTCTCACGGCCGAAAGCCCGCGTCATAATGGCGTCAAGGACTTGTAATTTGGGGTTTGCCACATTTGGGGAGGGGCAGGCTCGGTGAGGGAGGAACTAGGCAGCCTATCCCGGATGCAAAGAAATTCGATCCCGCCCGTGCGATGTTCGGTTAGCTTATCTTGCTCCCAATGCTTCTCCTTCGTAGATCGTCCACCCATCATAAAAAGGAGATGCCGTTTTTTCTCTTCGGCAGCTTCTTCTTCTCCTTCCTTTGCTGGCGTCCAACTTCACGTTTCCCTTTCATTTTTGAACCTCGTGAGCGACCGTAGGAAATCATCTAATATGTTTTTAACGTATGGCACAAGTGTGACCACAATACACAGGTTCACAAACAATGTCCGTACAAACAAAACAAAAACCGGCCAAGGCGGAATAAACACCGTGTTTGGATTGTATACTTACTTTTATTGCTGCTTACTGTACTATGTATGTTTCTGGCTGTATGTAATATGGCAGGTTATCGTTTTACGAAGTTTTATTGCTATTAAGGCGATCTAATAGAAGCCAAAACGAACGTGGCGCGGCGAGAAGTTTCTGCCGGCTTAAGGCGGCGCTTTAATCGCTCAGTTATTATTCATTTATTTATTACTATGCATTCGGAGGACGACGGCTCCATTCGCCAGAACCAAATCCTCTAAAATCATGTTTTAAAAAAAATGGGGGAAAAAAAAAAACTCAAATTAAGTCGTATTCAAAACAAGGGGGGGGAGGTCCACAGACACCATGATTCCTCCAAATAACATGATGCCTGATAAGGCACAAGATTATCGTGTTCCCCGCCGGAGCTCGCATACCATATCTGCGAGACATGTTTGCGCGTGTGGTGTGGTGCCTGTGTGCTAGTGCACCAATAACATCGAAGGAGACGGCTAATTTTTCGCGTGGGGTTACTGTATGCTAGCGCTGAAGTGGAACATTATAGTCTTATTAATAAGGCAATTGATTCAACGCTCTTGGATTTCCTTCTGAACGCAGCGGTGTTTGCGCTTCGCAAGTCTGCCTAAATGACGCGAAGCCATCCGGCCGTGAAAACTTACCGATTAAAGAAAAAAAAAAAAACCTCAATCTTTATTAGTTATAATTGTGTAATCCTTGCTTTATTCCACTGATAGTCTGTCACCTTTGAACTTTCCCTTTGAAATCTCACTGGGAGTTCATCTCAAGTTTTTAAATTGGGCCTAAAGCCAATAGTCTATCCGATGCGTCGATGCAATTGGCGATCAGTGCATATTCCTTGCCAGTTTCACAATCCGTCTCGAAAGCTGCTAGGATTTTCTTTTTCTGCCTTTGAACGGGTTCAGCATTAGATGATATGTCCAGTGCATAAACCTGCACTTAGAGTGCCCACGATGCATAAAACTAATGGGCCTCTTATATAGTGCTAGCAGTGTGCAATCTTAACAATATCGTATTCGTAGGCTGATAACGCCCAAACCAATTGTTCTAATAATTTTGTTGGGGGTCGGTTTCTCTTATCGTACACACTGATATAAAGTGCATTTTGCGGACGAACAGCACAGCCAAATAAAACCGACAGGCAACAAACCGACAAACTAACAGATCTGCAAGTAAGCGCTTACCCATTCGGGAGATTTGGTAGGTTCTGTTCTAATTAGTTTACATATTAACTGGTTTGATGCCCTGAAAAACGTGCGTGAAACTGAAAACAAGTTCGTAGAGGTCAACAGCTACTTTGAACCATAAACTGTCGCGTTTTAATATTTTTGTCACCAGGTTTCCAAGTAGAATATTTGTCCGTGTCCCCGTTTTCACTCGGATTCGTCGTTTTCAAATACCTTATGTTTCTCCATGAAGTGGAGAACTTAAAGGCACAACCTAGGCAAAAGTTGTGTGAATGATCTCTTCGATCTGAGGATAGACCCTAGAGGACAATCACAGATGTGGCATTCCCGTGCACGGAAATCACCGACAAGAGCGCTAGGGCCTTGCAAAGTAAGCTGCAGCAGCTGCAATTTTTTCTTTTATCAGGCTGTTGTCTGGCGCCCTCTCATCTGTTGCGCTCTCTCGCCTCATACTCTCCTCTCCGCGCTTAGTCTCTCATTCCCTTAGCACAGCCGATTAGGAAGGTGAGTGAGCCCTTAACCTGAGCGTTTTCGACGGATTCTTTTCCTTTTTTCTTACTGCCGGCCCATTACATCCGTACATGCTATGTGTGCAAAAACCGCATCAATTTGAGCCTGGGCATGCCTTTAAACGATCGACCATGGGAAATTCCTGCCCTGATTGTTTTCTGAAATCGATACTTCAGTCACGTTTTTTCTTCTGGACGGTAGAAAGAACGGAACTAAAGCGTTGATCCTAATAATTGTCCAAATACCTACAGAGATCATAGGAAATCTAAATTCCTCCGTGAAACTGTCAAAACTGTTGACGATGTGGACCCAATGCCAACAAGACAATCACCAAGCAGAAGCCTAGCGTTGCTGGGCAGGGTATAAGATATGCGGCCGTACGGGAAATTTCCCACGACGAATAAGATGAGGAGTCGTACGGTGTTTTTGGCTTATTTTTCAGCACCATCCTTGGTCCTGGGGAATTTTTTTAAAGGAATGTCGTACTTGCTCATCACCACCATGCCTCCCACTTCCCGTTCAAATTTTCTGCCCCCCCCCTCAGCATCATACACATTATAATAAACCAAAATGAGTGCTGCATCGATTTTTTGCTTTCTTTACTTGTTACCGGCCATTTGCGCTAATTAGAGGTTGACGTGTTGTTGTGCGTTTGTAAGCGACAATAAAACAACAATAATAATAATAATAATAATAATAATAATAATAATAATAATAATAATAATAATAATAATAATAATAATAATAATAATAATAATAATAATAATAATAATAATAATAATAATAATAATAATAATAATAATAATAATAATAATAATAATAATAATAATAATAATAATAATAATAATAATAATAATAATAATAATAATAATAATAATAATAATAATAATAATAATAATAATAATAATAATAATAATAATAATAATAATAATAATAAATAAATAATAATAATAATAATAATAATAATAATAATAATAATAATAATAATAATAATAATAATAATAATAATAATAATAATAATAATAATAATAATAATAATAATAATAATAATAATAATAATAATAATATAATAATAATGCTGTGCATTTGTAAATTGCGTGAAAATGTTGATCAAAAGTATACAAGCACAGCATAATCTCCACTCTTGGAATGCGCCTGTTACAATCTATTTAGGACTATTTTGAATGCAGTGAACACAATGGCCTGGAGGCGGTGCGGCTTTGATGAGGTCATGGGGGTGGAGGGACATTAGTGGAATTTCAAGGGGAGATGAACCCATCCCTCAACGCGCTGAAGGGATCGATCGAATGACCAATGATGCCAATGATGCCAATGTATGCTATACGAAATTCGCCCGCCCCTCTCACTACAGGGTGGGGCAAAATTACTGGTGCACTAAATTTTCAATGGCATTTTGACAATAATTCTCACAAATCAATTCTAATTATCAATATTATTTACTACAAACATGACAATACAAAAAATGTTAATGCTTCTCAAAATGATCTCCTTTAGCCTTCCTTCAGACGTTCGACAAATGCTTCGCATGTGGCACGCAGGTACTGGTCATCGATTTCGTCCCAAGATTTTGAAAGCGCCGCCTTAAGAGAGTCCAAGTTTGGATGTCTGGTAGAACACGCTTTGCTCTCCAAGATGGACCACACAGAGTAATCCATCGGGTTTAGATCAGGAGAACTGGAGGGCATTGTTGTCGGTGCACACTCCGCTGGACCATCTTTGCTTCGCGTGCTGGAGCAGAACCCTGCTGGAAGCACCAGTAGGCTTCTCTGAAATGGGGCGTGCCACCGTGAATCGCTGCAGCAACTTCTTGCATCTCTCCAATCTCCTTTTCTTCATAATGTCCGTCAGGAGTTGGCATTTCTGCAAGCGATAGGGGAACTTCCTTAGCTTACTTCTGACAATCCTCCTCATTGACCTCGCGCTTACTCCAACGTCTTTCGCCATCTGGCGCATCGATCTCCTGGCGTTCCTTCGAATTCTTTCTCTGACGAGCCTCACATTTCTCCGACTCGTAGCTGTTGTGGGACGTCCTCTTCCTTCCCTGTCCTCTTCGGTCTTCAGTTCTTTATAGCGTCGTACTGTATTCTGAACCGTCCTTCGAGGTACGGAAAGGATCTTCACAATTTCTCTTGTTTGCTTGCCGTCGTTGTGAAGTTTGATGATCGCGCTCCGTAGGTCAGAACGACGGACCATTTTGTATTCGAGTACGTAGGAATTACGCAACCTCCAGGCAACATATCACAAGCGAGTGAAACAGGAAAATCTCCAAGAAGTGTTAAAAAATTCAAAACGTATAGGTGCACCAGTAATTTTGCCCCACCCTGTATTGTGCTCACTGTCTTTAAATACTTGCTTGGTGCTTACATTCCGCTTTATGAAGTAATTTCTGGTTGTTTTGCGCTCTTGTGCTTTCAAGCTACCTTGGCGTCTTATAATTAATCTCGCGAGACAGCGTAAAAATGTGCCAATCATTCTAAGCTGAGCTACGTACACAAATTACACTCAGTAACGTGGGTACTTGAGAACGTATACACTCTTTATGACAACTGATCACATTTGATAAATGCGAAACATCGCCAGTTTACTCTTTTCATTTACCTACAGCTCTCAAAAGCCCATGTCAGACTTTGCGAATCGCGCGATTCGCTAGCGTCCGCGGCCGCGTTGCGGTACCAGCCAATTAAGTCATACACTGGCCGCGATGCG